CGGTCCGTCGTTAAACGCGTTTAATTTCGGCGTTTAAATAAACTTAGTTTCGTCAAACTGCGTTTCGCTTGTTTCTGATGAAAATGGGCCTTAGTAAGCGTGTTAAACGTCGCTGTTATGGTTTCATGTCCCACCACCTTACATATGTTATGCAATTGTCTTCCTTTCTCGCCCTTGTCTCAATTCTGCAAAATATTCATTATTATGTTCTCTCGTATTTTTTACCAATCTTTGTTCGTTTTTGTTCGTTTTTGCGTTGTGTCTTGTGGTATCCTCTGTTTCTTCTGATAGTTCAAAGCCCCAGGCCAACACAGCAGCCGGACTCGTTGTGGGGAAGAACCTCACAATTCAATTAAAGAAAAAAATTGAATGCTAAAAAATCGATTTTTCTCCATGTTGACTGTTAATTTGAGGTTATGTCAAAAGATATTCAATACAACAGTTTTCGATTTTTTTATTTACAACTCTTTTTGTATTTAACGTTTTCCGCTAGAACGTCACATTTTCACAAACGGCAAGTAACCTAAACTAAATCCCCATCATTTTTCTTCCATCATCAAATTTTATTTTTTCTTAAAGTTGTAACATCCACAACATATTCCACCTGGTCATTGCCTGTTATTTTTTTCTTATTTTTAGTAATTCAAAATCGTTTTGGCACCAGCCTATAATTCAACTGTCTTTTTTCAACCTGCACTGCATGGGTACTATTTACATAAATTATTTTTTAATTTTCAAGGGTGCAAATAACTGAAGACGGCAAGAATGCTTTGTTAACGTTAGCTAATGGCGATATGAGAAAAGTACTGAATGTTTTACAAAGCACATGGTTGGCACACAAAAATGTGAATGAAGACACAGTCTACACTTGTGTAGGACATCCACTTAGAAAAGACATTGAAAATATGGTTAATTGGCTTTTAAATGAAGACTTTAAGAAGGCGTATCACAGTAAGTATGTTATGTACTATTGTTAATAATCCGATACATACTCATATTTTAGATATTCAAGAATTAAAAACATTGAAAGGGCTAGCGCTCAATGATATTATCACGGAACTGCACAAGTTTATTCACAGAAGTGAGCATTTTAAATTTTCATATTGTTGCGTTCTTAAAATACAAATCAATTTATCGTTTTTAGTCGAATTTCCATTTCAAACGTCTATCAGAATCTTGGATAAACTGGCAGAAATTGAATACCGGTTAGCACAAGGAGCTAATGAAAACATCCAGTTAACCGGACTGATTTCATCCTTCCAATTCATTAAGCAAATACAGCCACCAGAATAAGAAAATACAATTTGAAACTTATAAATAAAAAGGAAAAATATAGTGAAAGTATATTTTTCCATGATTTTTACATATTTGGCCTGCTGGCAGTCTAAGCCCGTATCTAAGCATATGATTTGAAAGTGAAATTTTGTGATTTATTCATATATGATGTATTTTACGTACCCTGCCAACCAACTATTAAACAATAAATTAAGTGTTATTTGTCATACTACACACTAGGTATTTTTGAAACTTTATTTATTTAGTGGTTGACCGTAACACTGACTTTTTGTGCTCGAAATTTAATACGAGTGGAAGTCGATGTTTTGGAAAAAAAATATCTCCAAATGCCCCAAAAACCTCCTTAAGTCGAAAGCTACGTTCATACGTAAATTCAAAGAGTAAAATGGACGAAGTAAGAAAAAGAATGCGTTTTTTTCTGGTATTCGGAAACATTGAACCCGCCGCGGAATATGTTCCTTCTGAAATCTAAAATTGATAAGGTAATCTCTGGGTTTAATATTTTCTAAACTAAAAATAGCTCTTCGGTTTGCAACAACAGGTGGGTCAAAGATGTCGTGTAAAATTAAGCCTCTTATTAAATCGTGATCCACATCTCCCTGGTCATTCCGGCGCAGAAAGGCAGCTCAATGTTTTCTTCCATCTTAGCCACTTTTTGTTTAATAACAATACAAACTTAAACTAGCTTTGAAACTTTTCCAAGCAAAAGGGGTTAAGCAAACAATAAAGTGAGGTTTATTTTATTAAGAGTGCGACAAACGCGGTATCAAAAACTAAAAAACGCTCTTAACGTTATTTGACTGAACACCTTGTTTTTTTTAACACTGCGCATGATCAGAATAACGTGTAGCGTTTAAGGCCAACGTAATTTTAAGTGTTCAAAATCGTGGCTAAAATTTTGATGGAACACAAAGTGTTGATTAAATAGTTTTAATAAATGATTAGTATTTTAATCGGATATGGTGGAACGAGGCCTTAGACACATATGGATTTCCTTTGGACTCAAACGTCTGGAACATATTCGCGACAAGAAATATCCGAAGCGAAGAGCTAAAAGGTTAGATCGTCGCTGCTAACAACTGTACGTAAATGGGTAGAAAAACTTTCTATTTACATGGCTAAAACAAAAGTCAGGCTGCATTTTGATATTACTGAAGGCAGAACTTTAATGCAGCGATTAAGCGCGTTCTAAAAGCTTTATTTATTTAGTTATTTAAAAAATATATCTAAAAGCTTTATTAAATCAAACATTAAAAACTCTGCGTATATTTTCCATGATTTTTAACTCTTGAAGGAACTTTGTATCCACGATATGTATTTAAGATCCAAGTCGAAGGTTACTGATACAATAAATATTATAATATTTGTTGGTTTAAGTAGAGAGCTGATAATATCAATTAAATTAAACAACAATGAGAGCGACCATTGACCTCAGCGTCCATGGCTTCTCAAATGATTCTCCTACAACATCAATGTAATGTTGAAACAAACAGTAAATAGATCACAAGCCAGGAAAGTGCAGAAGTGATTGAAGAACACAGACAGTCCCTTCCAAACAAAAACAATTTACGTAGATTTTATGCTTATGTGTCGTTTCAGATCAGGGTTTTGCGTTTGATTCAGTTACTCCAGCCTATTCTGAAAACCTAATTTCAGTAGCTGCATGAGATTTTCAAAGCTGCTGAGTTTCCTCTTATTCATTGAATTGCTTTCCACCATTGTAAAAAAATCAGCACTTTTTATGTTATTATTGAAAATTCTTGCGTGTGAGAAATCGAATAAATACACTTTTTTTATTAGATTAACATATTTCAGAGAACTTCAAAGTCAGACACATTTTTTTAAATATTTTTTATTGAAGCTCCAGAAGTCCAATAGTCTACCGCGTCAAAAGTTTCTACGCATTTTTTCTCATATCTCAAACATTTTTCTGGCTACCAAGTTTGGTTTTTCATCTCTGGATAGAGCATTCAAATGCGAATTTTTTGATGTAAAATATTAATTTGTATATTCTTCTAGTTTCCATACAACAAGCCAAATTCGAAAGTAAAATATTCCCTCAGAGTTGTGACAGAAGCAAACAAATTTGCTCTCTAAGTTGTTTTTTCCTTTGACAACCTACGGAGAATGTTCTATTTTAGAATTTTGCTTGTTATGAGGAAACGAGTCGTTTTCAATTATTTTTTTATATTGAAAAATTCGTTGTTCAATGCTTTATCCAGACATTGAAATCTGAGCTTCGTGGCTAAAACGATTATTGAGGGTGGAGCTAATTTTGGATTTTTTGGTAAAATATCGATATAAATATTGAATATTGATATGCCTTCAGTCAAACACTTTCCGACAATGTGTATCTATAGTCTGTACGCTATAACCAAASCTTATAAAGGGTGTCCCACCGGGAACCGCAGCGATCGATATATGGCAAASTSTAAYARKTTTTGATATAATCGAAATTTTATGTAAAAAATAACAGTTACAGCCACTCGAATAATGATTCATTTTTTCTATAAGGRCATATGTGCTATTTAATTCTGGAATGATTATAAATGTSGAGACGCAGGCTACTTGGTATTACGTTCATTTTGACTTCCTATTTGCTATTGAAGARMAAGCGTCTAACACGGCGGTTAAAGTCAGTTATCAATAGGCAAAGGTCACAAACSKGAAATTCGTTCCATTAAGCAAGCTGCTAAAGTCTGGATCTTCAACGAAAATAACATGATCTGTCATCTTGCCAAAACATAGACAAAACWTGGCCKCGTTWTAMCAAATGYCACGGTCAGTCACTCACGTGAGATAAAAYTCTTCCTGTCATTGGTTGATTCGCCAACTAAATGAACTCAGCCGTCGGTGAAATAAAATTTGGTTAAGTGCTAAACGTSATGAAAGCCTAATGGAAACGAGTGACGAATTGCGCAAGTGCAAACAACGATCGATGAACGGCACCAACTGCAGAGTTTATAAATCCAGCTTAATGGTTTCCACTACAGTGACTATACATCACAGTGGCGACAATGGTTATTCCACTTTTCTATTGGTTAAGGACTCCACCTGACTAGAATCGCCATTTGGAGGCAAAAGTTATTTTACTTACCATGCAGATATGCACGTTTAACTTGAATTATGTCGCCCTTATTGACCCTGGCTGACATTTATAGGGTATCATATTTGCGTGTAGACTAAATGAGTTATGATAATCTTGCCATTAAGTGCCGACCTTTGGACAATATATTATATTGCTGATTGCATAATAAATCAATCACACTGACCAGTTGGTCTAGTGTGCGAGCAATAAAATATCAATTGCTAGTACCTAGGTAATAAAATATTATTGGTCTGAAAGCTGGTATATTTTTCAGTTAATTAAGTCTGAATTTTGTTACTTTTAAGGGYTGACCCTTAGCCAATATCAAACAGAATATCTGAACAGATTAAGSCAGAGTATTTAACAACAGCTTGGCTTATTGAAGCCTGGGGAGTGGTTTTATTTAATGACTTCAAGATSTCCTGTCAATGCGTTAWGCAATGAAACAATGAAAAATCTTTAAAAGCTATTAAMTTTGCTCACTAATGTTATAGAAATTATTAAGRTCTTGGGMATACGCTCCATTAGTCTGACGTCAGACGATGCGCGCGCCGGAGGRCTGTATCTACACAAACGAATTGTCGTATCTTATTAGCATTGGACATAGTTTCATTCCGTATTTTTTTAGAAATCTGCAGGTTCTAAGCATTATTATTAGACAAGCTTAGMAACTATTTTGTTCGCTACATTAGATACATCGTTCTTACTTTTTCTTCAACTTAAYATTTTTCAACATGCAGGTTATGTTTGCTAACAGCTGWTTGCTGTTGGATACGAATGTGTACATGCCTTGCAGACAATTTGTCGATTAAAAACACATCCCGACCGGTTAGTTCCTCGATTCTAATGATAAGTTAACATTTTAAGTGTCTGCAGGTCACGTTCTACGATTTTCTGCTGTAGCGGATTGCTTTAAAGAAGACTGCTCATAGTTAAAGAGGGGTGAAAACTCTTAAGAGAGGCTACGTCATTGAGCCAGAGACAAAACTTGTCTCTGATTGAGCTAGTGTTCGCTACCGAAGACTTTCCTGCTTGACTTAAAGATGTGAGAGCCAGTATGAAAAAGAAAAATGACTGTGTATTACTGTAATTCTGTATATTTTTGACTGCGAAACATTAAAACTAACAGCTAAAGTTTCATGAGAGTTGTGAGTAACTGATCTTGCTTACTAAGTTTTTCATCTTTCCAGTCATAATAACAAACTACTTATATGTTTGAGTAATGCAAACAAACATTTACATATTGCACAAGTAGGAAAATACATAAATACTAAGATGGCATTTCCTTTTATACTTTCACTTGAAAAACGTTCAGATAAATTGTTAAGTCCCATTAACAATTGTTGTCGAAAATCATTTTCAGCATAAATCCGTGCTGYAGACAATCATTTTCAGCATAAATCCGTGCTGCAGACGTAAAGGTTTTAGGAACATTTTCTGTCTATTTTGAACGGTTTTTGAGCGGTCGCAATCTTCAACGGACGATATTTTCCTTATTTTCGACCCACAACTTTCATGTTTGCTATCGGACAACTTATTAGGTCGGAAACAATCTAATAAGGGCAAAAAACCCGATTGTAAAATTTTGATTTTTGGTCGAAAATTTCATAAGGTAAGAGGTCGATTTTTCCAAAAAATAAAAGTTCCTCAAAATACCTTGAGGATACATCATTTTCA